CCCATTAACAGAGCCCCGGGTGGGAGGTCTGCTCTCAGGTCGCCTGGTCCTGCCCGCCTGTCCCCTCAGCTAGCCGTCCTTCGCCTCGATGGCTCTCCACAGTGCCTGTCCTCTCCTTCCCTGCCTACACAGCTTCGTGTCAAGGTCCCTCAGTCCCCACACCAGGTGCGGAGCAAGGGATGTGGTTTCAGGTTTGTTGACCAAATAGCAGGCCCCATGCAGCCCCCACACCCGTCTTTCGGGGTGTGAAAATGCGGGGTTTCTATCCTGCTACAAACCCTCCCTGACGACCCTGCCTAGGACAGGCCCTGTGCAGGAGGGGCTAGAGGAGGCACAGCCCTGTGTCCTGTGGTGGGGGACAAGCTTCCCTGGGCGGAGTCTGCAGGATGGGCAGGAAACGAGGAGGGGATGAGCTGGCCACGGCCCCCTGATGCCAGGCCCCAGAGAAGGGGGCGGCCAGGCCGGGCAGGGTCTGACCTTGCACCTGGATTGTTGGCTGCTGATGCCCACACACAGGCAGGCAGAGGCCTGTGGACCCCAGGGACACCCAGGCACCTGAGTGTGGGTGCAGCTGGCCCCGGTGGGTCCCCAGAGTGGGTGTGCCACCCTCAGATGCCCTGCTGCTGCCCAAGGCTGGCTTGCTGCTTTGATTGTTTTTGAGATAGGGCCTTGCTGTGTAGCCCAGGATGGCCTCAGACTCACAGTGATCCTACTGCCTCGGCCTCAGAGTGCCAGGATGACAGGTGTGCACCGCTGCCCCTGGCCTCCCAGCCCCTCGGTTGACCCCTGCTGGCTGTGTTCTGAGTCTGAGCCAAGGCCGGGGGGGAAGGAAGCTTTGGCTCTCCCCTCCCCCAGGCTTGTTGATGCTGCACCCCGAGGAGCCGGCCCTGCCCAGCGCCCCCTTGGCGAGTCCTCCTGCACGGGCCTGTGGCTCCTGGGTGGACACGAGTGCTGTGCTCTTATCTGAGCGCACAGCAGAGGAGCAGGACTGTCCTGCTGGGATGGCAGCCCCAGTTCTGCCTGAGCAGCTGCAGTGCCCTCGGGGATGAACCGGGCTCAGTGACAGCCTGGATCCTAGCACCAGGAGGGTGTGCAGGGCCCATGGTGAACGCGCTCAGTGTGCTGTGAGGTCAGGAGGAGGCCCTGTGGGTGGACACTGCATGGCTTAGCCTAAAGTGTCCTGCGGAGCCCCGCGTATCCAGAGGGGTCACTTAGAGGGTGGCACGGGCACTGTGCCCCTCAGTGACTCCACCTGCCGGGGGGGGGGAGGCCTGGTGGGGACAGGGAGCCATGGGGGGGAGGGATTGGGGAGGGCAGAGTCTTTTACTCCCCCCAGTACTAGGGCTTGAACTCGGGGCCTCTGCCCTGAGCTGTACCCCTGTCCTTTTCATTTTTGAGACAAGCTCTCACTCAGTCCCTAACTTGTCCAGTCTGGGCTTGAACACGTGATCCTCTTGCCTCAGCCTCCGGGATATGACGATGAAAGGGACCTGTGGCGCTCCAGCACGGGAGGACACACTCTCATCGCCGCCGGCGCCCTCCCCTGCAGGCTTCCCAGCTGCTGCCTTGGCCAGGTTCCCACCCCTCACCTGCCCTGGACCCGGATGACTGAGCCGAGCCCCTGAAACCATGGGCACCTGTGAGCCGCCCCCTCAGAGCTTCGGTGCCAGACTTCTCGTTCCGTTTGTGCTTCTCGCTTGTCAGCCAACCCTGGGCCGGGTGGGCCACGTCAGCCACAGCTTCACACAGCGGGAGGTGAGCAGGCCGGCAGCAGGGACCCCAGGGTCAGCAGGAGGCAGGAGCCAAGGACACAGAGGCCGCTGTTGGCAGGCAAAGCCAAGGAAGGGCCTCTCCCTGGGCCTGTAGGAGGGGCTGGCCCTGGAGACCCTGTCCCTCAGCCCAGGGACCACATTACGCTCCTGCCCTTGGACTGGGCCATTCTTCACGTGCCACTGAAGCCATCAGGTCTGCATGCGCTTGCTGAAGCACCCACAGGACCTTTGCACAGATGGCACGCTGCACCCATAGTGTGAGCTTTGGCTAGTGTAGTCTGGGCACAGCCTAGCAGGGCAAGTGAGTAAACCCAGAGGGATGAGCCTGGGTCCTAGGGTGCGGGACCCTCACGGGACCCAGAAGGCAAACTATCAGACATCTGATGCCTGGGCAGCACGGGGAAGCTGGCTCTGGAGGGCAGAGTGGATAGCAGCAGGCCAGGTCTGGCTTTGAGAGGGGTGGGCACCTGTGCTGCAGGACGAGTGTGCAGAGGAGATGTGGAAGCGAGACTGTTCCTGATGCTAAGAGGAAGCTGGAGAAAGACAGAAGGCACAGAGAAAGCCGGGAACTGGGAAACTGCTGCGGGAGAGAAGGTGACGGTGACCCCGCTGGTGACGGCCCTGGCCTGCCTGATAGGACTGCAGCACAGCACGTGCGCCGGAACCCAGGCCCCGTGGGGGAGTCACAGCTCGGCGGGCAGGAGCAGGCGCCAGCTGAAGACTGGGCGTGGGGGCCAGGCGGGCTTGATCGTCCTGCCCTGTCAGGAGGACCCCAGTGTCTGACATGCCCCGTGTTGTCACCAGGGAGTTGGCTCTGTCCTCAGCAGGCAAGAATTCAGCTCCTTCAGAGCCCACTTGTGCCCTTGGGGGTTGGCTGAGAAGGTGAGGCAGCATTTCAGGCTGCAGCTGGGGTGCCAGGGTGGCACAACCTCTCTGGCCCCCTTGAGGTGCAGCCCTGAGCTGCTGCAATGTCCAGCACACCTAGGGGGGTTGGCAGCCTCCACCTCCTACCTTGGTTCGCAGCGACCTCTGCCCCTTGGACTGCCGCAGGCCACCTTCTCCAGAGCCAGCCTCGTCCTTCTGGGCACTGCCCCTTGGCAGGGGTGGACCTCCCGTGCACCCATACCCAGTGGGGGATGGGGTCAAGGAGCTTCTGAGTGGTGAGGGTCTGGCCAAACCTGGTTGTACCCTCCCCGTTGTGTGTGTGCCCCCCAGAGAACTGCTGGGCAGCCTCTAAATCCGAACTCCAGGCCTGGCTGGCCGCAACACTCAGGGAGCATCCTCTGAGGCTCCGGGGACACTGAGGCAGGCCAGCCTGGGGGAAGTGTCCCTCAAGGCCTGCCTGAGGCTCCACAGCCGAAGGCCATGCCCTCCTGTGTTGGGGTGTCTCTGGGTCAGAGGTAGTGGGCTGCCGCTCCAACCCCTGCTTTCTCGGTGAGGGCTAGTATTGAGCAGGGGAGCAGGCAACACCAGGCTGGCCTGATGGCCAGGGGCCACTTCCATAGCCACTGCTCCCGAGTCCGGGCAGTGGCCTTCCAGCCTGGTGGGCAGGGTGCAGATGGGAGTCTCCCAGCAGAACCCTCTAAAGGGTCAGGCTGTGCCAAGCCCCCAGAGCCACAGGTGACACCTGCTCAGCATGAGGGCCCCAGGAGGGGCCACAAAGTGTGGCTTTTCTGGGCTGCTGGGTGGGCTTCTGCCCAGGACTTTGGCATTGTAGTCCACAGGGCAATGGAAGGTCGGATACTACACATGGCCCAAGGAAGAGCTTGGGAGAGTGAGCTTAGCCATTATGGGGGTGTCTGTGTTGGGCATGGAGGGGTGCCTGGCCCTGCCATCCTGGGCTGTGGATACAGTCTCTTTGCAGCTGGTCCTCGGAGGGAGTCCAAGGCCCGTCCTGCTCAGGGCTTGAGGGGAGCATGTTCAGGGTATGCCCCGAGGCATCCTGGGGGAGCTGACAGGATGGGTGCTCAGCAGCTACAGTTCCCCAGGCCTCTTTAGATGGCAGTGGGTAGGGTATGGGTGTGAAGTGTGGTGCTGGGTGTCACAGGCAGTGGGCTCAGGGGTGATACTGTGGCATGGTGTGCGGGCTGGGCCAGAGGCAGGACACTCAAGTCAACCATGCTTGCGGACAGACTATGCTGCTGGACTTGGGAAGGGACACTGTGTCAGGTGGACGTGAACTCAGTGGCCAGGTGTCCTCCTCAGTGCTGACTGCTAGTGGGAATAAGCTGGGGAGTCTGCTGGAGAAGACAGGTGCTGAGCGCATGACCCAGAAAGGGGGTCCTCCTAGGGATGCTGACCCAGGTCATGTCCAGAGTGAGGGTGCCAGGGTGGGGGCCCTGTGAGAGTCTCCCCGCTCTGTGTACCTCTTGGGAGGGCCCTGGTGGCCTTGTGACCATCATTGCAGGAATCTCGGTGGCTTTCTCAAGGACCGGGCAGGAAAGATCCTGGGGACAGCGATGCGGACAGGGTTCGGTGTACAGGTTCTGGGGATCTAGTCTGAACTCAAGCAGGGCAAGCAGGGCTGATTCCCTTGTAGTAGGCATGGAAAGAGGGGCAGAGGCCTGGAGATGGGGCGGCATGTTGAGGTCACCCCTGGACGTGCCCTGGGTGGGGGGTCTGGGGTGACTCCTGGGTAGGCCTAGAGCTTGGGGCTGCACTAGGGATGGATGGGAGTGCATTCATGCTCCCTAGAACAGGCAAGAACTTTAAGGGAAAACCGGAGTATGGAAGTACTGGTGGTGAGTGGACCTGAGGGAAGGCCTCAAGGGGATTTGCAGGTGCTTTCCAGGCCTTGGCCCACCCCCCCTTTGACACAAGGTCTCACTATGGAGTTTAAGATGGTCATGAACTATGTAGCCCAGGCAGCTCTCCTGTCTCAGCCTCCAAGTGCTGGGATTACAAGGGCACAGCACCACCACTCCCAGTCTCTGGCCCTTGTAAAAAGGCCATCATAGATAAGGCAGATGACTGTCCCAGACCCCATGCTAGCCCCTGCTCCTGGGCCCAGGCCAGCCTTGGTGGGCCTTGATGGGGTGCCTGTGGACCCTGATTTTGAAGATCAATATTCTTCGCCTTCAGCGTACACTTGTGCATGCACTGGGGCTAGAACCCGAGCGCTTTTTTATTAGATGGGGTCTCACTAACCCACCCAGGATTGTTTTTAATTTTGATCCTCCCACTTTGGCCACCCTCAAGCCTGGGATTATAGCAGTCCAAGGACACACCTGGCTGACCGTTTAGTTTATTCTTGTGCAAACCCAGGCCTGTGGTCATCCCTCGAGGGCTGGCTGGGAGGCAGACAGCTTCAGCCCCACCCCAGCTTCCGGTTGTTGCCCTCTGGACCAAGTCGGGGAGCCCAGCAGAATGGGGTGTGTGTGTGTTCTAGACTAGAAGGGTGAGTGGCCATCCAGTCGCGGCGCAGTCTGCGGTGGGCTGGATCGGGCCGGGCAGTCCCCAGGCACGAGCTCCGCAGCGGCTCGGCTCGGCCAACTCCCGGTGTTCCACTCCCGGTGTCCCGGGCCGCGCGGCCGGCGCCTGTCACTTCACGTGCTCGGCGGCGTGAGAGGAGCAGTAGTACTTCTTGTGCGCGATGAAGGTGGACAGGCTGCTGAACCGAATGTTGCACAGGCGGCAGTAACGGTAGCCGCCGATTGCGGGCGGGCCCTTGCCAGGCGTGGGCGCGCCCGGGTCGGCGGGGGCCTCGGCGGGTGCGGGCGGCGGGGACGGAGAGCGCGGCGGGGGGCTGCCCCGAGGGGCGCGCTCTGCCGGCGCGCGGGGCGCGGGGCCGCGCAGGCCGTGCACGCGGCGCAGGTGCTCCACCAGGTCTCCGCGCGCGCGCCCGTTGGAGGGGCAGTAGGGGCACACGGCAGCCGGGCGCAGCGGCGCGGCGGGGCACGCGTACTGCTTGTGCGTCAGGTAGGCCTCGAGGCTGTGGAAGCTCACGCGGCACGCCGTGCACTCGTGGTAGTCGGCCAGGGCGGGCAGCGCGGCGGGCGCGTCCGGGGGCTGCCGGCGCGGCCGCTTGCTCAGGTCGATGGGGCCGTCGGCGGCGGCGGGCGCGGGAGAGCGTGCGGGGGCGGGACCAGCACTCCCACTTCCGCTTCCGGGCTGCGGCGAGACGGGCGGTTCTGCTGCGGGGGCGTGGCCAGCCGCCGGAGGGGCGTGGCTGGATGGCGCGGGGGCGTGGCCAGGTGGGTGCAGCTCGTACAGCTTTCGGCGCCGGCGCGTGCGCACGGGCGGCGTGGTCAGCGGGGGCGCCACTGGCCCCGGAGCGGGTGCTGCTGCGGGTGGCCTGCGCGGCGGCGGGTCGTGGCGCGAGGCGCAGTAGTAGCGCTTGTGCACCGTGTAAGTCTCGTGGCGGCTGAAGCGGATGTTGCAAGCCTCGCACAGCGTGCGGCTGGGGTCGTCCTCTGCGTCATCCACCGAGCTGCCCGGGCTCTGGCTGCCCTCGCTGCCCCGGCCGGGCGCCTCGGCCTCTGGCGTTACCGAGCCCCCCGTATCGTCCTCGCGCACCCCGGGACCGGGCGGCGATCGCGGCGCCTCGGGCTCGGAGGGCGTGCCCGGTGTGGCCTTGGGCCTGCGCGCGGCGGGTGCGTCCTCGGGCGCGCGGCGGCCAGAGCAGTAGAGGCGCTTGTGCACATAGAAGTTGTTGACGTTGTTGAAGGTGATCTCGCACTCGAAGCACGTGGCGCCCTTGGTCCCCGTCAGCAGCGCGGCCGGCGGCCCCGCGCCCTGCTGCAGCCGGCTGTGCACCAGCTCTGACATCTTAGCCAGGATCTCCGAGGCCTGGGGCGCCGTGGGGCCCGAAGCAGCGCCCCCGTCGGGCGCGAACACGAGCTGCGGCAGAAACAGCGTGCTGGCCACTGCCAGCTCTCCGGGCGCGGGGCTGGCGCCTGGTGTGGGGCTGCGCAGCTTTGCCTTTACGCGGGTCGCACCGGGGCTGTGCGGAGATGGCGTCCGCGATGGAGCCCGGGGTGCAGGCTCTGCCTGGCCTGACGCTTGGTCCGCCTCTGACTCCTCGGCAGCCTCAACCTTGACGCTCCTGGGGGTCGCGGGGGGCTCGCTGCTGCTCCCGTTCTGGGGGGCTGTCCTGGCCTCACCGTTGGTGGCCTCTACCAGGGCCTTCCTGTCCAGGCCTGGTGATGGGGTAGTTGCCAGGCCCAGGTCGGCGGAGGGCAGGGGTCCATGCACGGCACTGTGCTGCTGGAGGCCGGGGAGGGAGTCTGTAGAGAGATTACAGGGCACCTCAGGCCTGGCACTGTGGACAGCATGTCCTGCTATGCGGAGCCCAGGCACCCCGCGGCTGCTCACCTGTGGGCAGCTTGGCAGCTGGGTGTGCTGGACCTGGCGAGTAGATCTCACCCTTGGAGCCTGGCTGGCAGACCATGTGGCTGGTCACCAGGTGGCTGTAGAGGATGTCCCGAGTGGTAGAGATGAAGCCACAGCTGTGACAGACACCTGTGGGACATGCGTGGCGGTCAGGGCCCTGGGACCGAGGTGTATGTACTCCCCCACCCGCACAGCCCACCTACCGCTGAGCGTGTCTGTGTGCACCTTGAGGTGACGCTCACAGTTGGCCTTGGTGGTGAAGGCCGACAGGCAGATGAGGCACACGAAGGGCCGCTCTCCTGGAACACAGGGACATGTGGTATGGCTTCCCGGCCCTACCCCAGGGACCAGGAGGGCAGGCCTGCACCCAGGTCCTGACTAGCTCGGAGGCTCTCCATCCTGGCCCTTGCCCAAGGACCTCGAGGGGTCTCGGGTGTGACCGCAGCTGTACCACAGTCCCTGTCTGCAGCAGGGTACGGTTCCCTGCCGAGGGCCTGGGGCCCAGGGGCCAGGGCAGGCATGCGGCTCACCGCTGTGGCTGCGCATGTGGATCTCCAGGGAGCTGGCGCTGGGGCAGCTCTTGCGGCACTGGGGGAAGGGGCAGATGCGCTCGTTGGGGTACGGCTCCTTGGGCTTGTCCTCTGCGGCCGTCGTGGCCGGGGAGCTGGCACCTTGGCGGCTGGCGCAGTAGTAGAGGAGGTGGGCTTGCAGATTGCGCTCGCTGCGGTACCAGATGCCACAGTCCTTGCACGGGAAGACGTCCTCTGTGGGAGGAGGCTCAGGGTGGGCAGTGGCCTCTACAGAGAGGGCCTGGCTGGACAGCCCCTGGAGAGCTGGACCTGTCCTCCTCTGGCTTGCCCTGACTGTCCTTTGATAACCCTGACCTCTACCTCTGGGCCAAGGACATGCTTGTGGGCACTGAGGAATGTGACACGGCTGTGTGGGTGAAGATAGGAGCGGCAGCTGCAGAGGGTCCTGGTGCACAGCCTGGAGGCTGGGGCCACAGCAGTTAGGACAGTGTCCCTGTCCCGCTGGTGCCTCTGTGTCTGATGGTGCTGTGGATGGCCAAGGTGGCGCACTGGGCAAATTCACCTCAAATGCTGCTTCTGTTAAGTCTACTGGGGGTTTGGGACCCCGGATCCTTGGGGCTATGAGGATTTCTCTGGTGTGTGTTCTTTGTGTACAGCAGGATTTTATGTTACTTTGTTTTTGTTTTTTGAGAGGGCCTAACATTATAGTCCAGGCTGGCCTCAGACCCATCACGGAGCCCAGGCTGGCCTTGAACTCATGGCAACTCTCCTGTCTCAGTCTACAGATACAGCGGGCCTTCAAGTGTTCTGTCTGCCGCCTCCCACCTAGGTTCTATGCTGTCTGCCGGCAGGCCTCCGCAGGGACGCTGTGACCAGCTGGCCCCAGGGCCCTGGGTTCCCCACCTGGCTGTTGGGTTAGTTCCCCATAGGGATCTGGGTGGAGATTGTGGCTTCCTCAGCCCGTCCAACGTGGGTCTTGAGTCTCTGCCTCACAGCTGCAGCAGCCTGGGTCATTGTCCTGCTCGGTGTCCACCAGCAGGCTGCCGGGGTCCCCTCCCACCCCCCTCCCACCCCTTCTAAGGACCAAAGCCCTGGCCAGGGGATGTGGTCACTGTGTGTCTGGTGGACTGTGCCTGGGACATCACTGCCTGGAATGAGGTGTCCATGTGCAAACCCAAGAGCCCAGGGGGGCTGGAGTAGGCAGGTAAGTGGACAGTGGGACCCTGCCTGACCTCTGCCCTGGCTTCTGTTGGCCTCCTGTCTCCCTCAGACCTCGATGCTCACCTGCAGGACGGAGACCAAGCAGCCTCAGTCTGCACGCTGCCCCCTTCCTGCCCACTGCCTTCCCTGTCCTCACCTGCACCCCACTCCTGGTGCAGGCAGCCCGAGCACCCTGCTGCCAGGCGCGGTGTGGCTGTTCCCTCAGGTCCTGCCACAGGGCCTGCCCCGTCCTGCCGCTCACATGGGTGCTCGGTGTTTGTGCGACGAGGAAGTCCTTTCCTCACAGCCCCTCAGCCTTGGGTTGGTGACCCAGGCCACAGGCTGGGGTCCTGTAGTGACCCTCGTGTCCCTAGGTTTGGCTCCTCTGTGTGCTGTCCGTTGCTGGCCTGGCCCCTGTCCTAGCTGAGCTCTCCTGCCGGTGTCCTGCCTCAGCTCTGTGCTGTGTCCACTCGCTGGCCTACAGGGAGTCTAGTGCACCTTTTCGTCTTTTAACTTGGTGCTGGGATGGAACCAGGGCCTCACATGCTGAGCCCCACCTGTGTCCTTTAGGCTCCCCCCCTCTGGTGGGGTGGCCCCTACTCACTGTTGATGACTGCTGTGGCGAGGATGGATGCCATGCCGGCCTGCTGGGGCAGCAGCTGGATGTCCGGGAGCACTGGGGCAGGGCTCTTGGGCTCCGCTGGCTCCTCCTTCACAGGACAGCTGGGGGTGTCTTGGGGCTCAGCTGTGAGCAGCACACACAGAGCTTCGCCTGCAGGCACTGGCCTGGTGATCCTGCACCAGAGGCTGTCATCTGGGGGGCACAGGCATGACGCTGGGATGGTGACGCTGGGTCCCCACCTGCTCCTAGGCCCTCCCTCTGTAATACTGGGACGAGAGCAGGACCCATGGCCACATGGGGGGCAGGTGCCTGGTTCCTTCAGTGTGCTGCTCTGCCCACATGTGAAACTGTGGGACCCGCTGGATGGGGTGGGGTGCTCACACCTGCCCAGGGGCTCCAGTCTGGTTCCCTGTTTCAGTGGTCAGGCTTGGCTGTTCCCACAGCGGCCTCTAGGGGGCAGCCTAAGCCAGTGGAACTGGGACAGCTGGTCTCCCTCCTGCCTGGCCCCCTGTGCTAGGACGAGGCTCTGCTGACAGATGGATGCTGTGGGAGTGCCACGTCCTCGGTGCTGCCCAGCCCTGCCAAGCGCTGGTCACCACTGAAAGGCCTTGTCTTTGCAGAAGTGGAAACCCACACTGACCACTGGCCACCAACACCCTGGCCTTGAGTCCCAGAGTAGGTGGCCTCCCAGAGCTGGCTCAGCCCTGCCTGCTATCTGAGTCCACTTTGGGTTGGGGTGGGGTTCTTTCTGCCAAACAGGTGTGGAAACTGAGACACACAGGTAAAATGCTGGCCCAGGTCTTGTGCAACTGAGCGCTCTGTTGTCCTGACATGAGCACTGTCCAAGGCCAGAAGAACTGTGGGGACCCCTTGCCTTGCCCAGTCCCAGGAGGGGGAGGTGCAAGGGGACCAGGTAAGATAGGCACCAGGCCAATGCACCTCCTCTGCCTCCGTTCCCCAGGGGAGGACAGGCCCCAGCTGGCCTGGGTATTGCCCTGTGTCCCCCCACTGAGAAAGGACACCGCTGGTGGCCAGCCCTGGGCCAGTCAGCACCTAGAGCTGGGCCTCAGGAGAGGTCACCAGTGGATGGGGGCGGTGCAGTGTCCCCCAGCTGCCTGGGCCCTGTCATGGAGTGTTGGCCTCTAGGAGCAGCTCCCAGGGACGCCACCCCCACAGAGCATGGTTTCCCTTTCAGGCCAGCCCAAGCAGGGCTGGTGACCCCCGACCTCCGGAAGGCCAGGATGGGGACGCGCCACATGATACCAACCCTTCCTGTAGATCTCTGCGTTGGCGTCGGCCTCAGTCGGGGCCTGGGGCAGCGTCTTCAGCCAGCACGCCTGGTCAGTGAGCAGCAGGGTCAGGGCCGGGCCCTGGGGAGGGAGGGAGTGGTCAGCTTGGGAATCGCTGGGGACAGTTTCGGAAGTCTGAAAGCTGATGGGACCCTGGCCCTCGTCCTGGCAGCTTCTGTGGTGGACACTGGATTCTTGTGGCAGCCACAGAGCTGTGTCATATCTATGTCCCCTCCACGCTGACAACTGTGTCCCACACCAGAGAGCCTCGCTCGAGCCAAGCTTCTGCCCCTCCACCTCCCTGTACCCAGACCAGTGACACCATGTTGAGTCAGCCCTGGGCCCACCCAGCCTTGCTGTCTCAGAAAGCAGGCAATGTCCCTCCCCACCTCACAGGTGGAGAAACTGAGGCATTGGCTGGGAAGGCACAAGCCTGAGCCCCAGCCATGCTGTCCACAGTTTATTCTGTGCCTGGCAGGAAGCTCGCTCCAGCTCGGCCCCAGGCCTGGTCCCCAGCCAGGGCACAGGAAATGTGTGTGTCCCTAACCTGAGAAGCCTGGTATTGAAGTGGGCAGGTGGGTGGACAGGGGCCCTTGTCCCCTCCTGCACACTGAGCCCTGCTCCCGACCCCCTGGTCTGCCACCCCGGGGAGGGGGTGTCCCTGATCTTGACCTCCTGGAGGCCACCATGCTTGGCCTTTCTCTCTGAGCCTTCACTTGGTGTTGAGAATTTTCTTTTTTTGGTACTGGGAATTGAACTTGGATTTATGCTGGTCAGGCAGGGACTTGTGCTACTGAGCTACATCCTCAGCCCCAGCCAGGGCCTCCCCTCCCATCTCCTCAAATCAGTGGCTCTAATCAGACGCCCGCTGCGCTATGACTGTGGACCAATGCCACTGCTGCCTGCTGCTCCCGGCCTGTGGACCAGGAGGCGTGAGACGGTTGGCCCAGGTTGGAGAGGGCATCTCGCCTTGAGACCCCTCCACGTGATCCCGTGGGGTCAGAAGATGAGGCCTGTGGCAGGGCCAGTGACACGGCAAGGCCGTGCTCCTGCACCAGCGCCTGCTGCCCTGTGGTGGGAGGTGGTGAGGAGCGGGCCTGTGCTGGTGGGCAGAGTCCCCCCCATGGGGCTGTGGGAGGAGGGGGAGGGACATGGCCCTGTGGCATGTTCCGCCCCGTCTGTGGGGGCCTGGGCCATCTCTGCAGCCGTGTCCCCCAGGGAGCGCGCAGTCAGGAGTCCCAGGAGTGCTGCCTGCCGGGTGCTGCTTTCACTTCCCCTTGGCCAGCAGGACCAAGTGTCCAGGACAGGGCGCTGGGCCTTGGGGCTGGGCTGTGCAGGGAGGCCTGGAGTCTGCTCTGGTGCAGCGTGGAGGAAGGGCCCTGGCACCCAGCACCCCCGAGGGGCTCCACCAGGTGCAGGGCACGGTGGGAGCTGTGTGCCCTCTGCAGGCTGCTTGTGGTCACGGCTGGGGCGGGCGGGGGGCTGGCCCTGCACTCTAGCCAGGGACCTGATCCGGGCGCGTGGCACCAGGGCTTGGGCCTCCCTGCCTCGGCCTTCCGAGTTGCTAATGAATATTAATGAGCCGAGGATGAGAAAATTAATCTGGCTGATCCTTCGATGGGTGCCACGGTAACGATATGAAATCTAATTATTCGTCCCAATATTCCTAAACCCTCAACTCGAGACTGACAGCCCGCTCGGCTTAGTGCTTATCGGCCTCGGAAGCAGCGTGTTTGCCACACGATAAGCACGCGGGACTCTGCTGACGCTGCACAGCGCTCCTCGGGGGACGCCGGCCCACGCACCTCGGCAGCGCAGGGAGGCAGTGGGCACTCAGGAGGGCCAGCCTCCCGCCCAGGTCCCCTGGCTCCCGTGCCCCGGGAGGGGCAGAAGGCTGGAGGGGCAGGGCCTGAGTCTCCAGCCCCCTGCACAGCACCAGGCTAGGCAGCCACACCCTGAAGTCACCCGGGGCTGGCCTCCCTCGGTGGGGGGCGAAGCCTTCTGAGGGCGGATGTGGCCAGCCCTGCTGGCTGACTTTCTCTTCCCACCATCACTTTTTCTGCCCCTTTTCCAGACAACCCTGAACAGGAGCCCACTTGGGTGTGCTAAAGCAACAGGCACTCACCTTGCCCTGTGCACGGGCAGCTGGGCAGCCCTGGCCAGGCCTCCTGTCCAGACAGCAGGAGACCAAGGCTGCAGCTGCCCCCTGCCCTGCCCCAGGCTCAGGCTGGGGTGGGCCTGGTGTCTGCCCTGCACCCTGCCCCTAACAGTCCCTGTCCCTTCTGCCCAGGATGCCACTTTAAATTCTCCCGTGGAGCTGCGATTGCTCCCGCTTCCCTCAACAAAGAGGTCAGTGTCCTGCCTCTGCTGATAACCATCAGAAACCCTATCTGCTCCGCATCCGCAGTGATGGCTTCTCCAAGGCTGATCCCGAGCCCCTCTGTCCAGCACCCGGTGAGGACAGGGAGGGAGGTGGCCATTGGGGGGCCAGGCCAGGGGACAGGTGGCTCCTGAGGCCCGGAGTAGCTGCATGCAGGTCACAGTGGCAAGTGCATGCTGCCCACAATGTCCTCTAGCTCTGTCAGCGCCCTGCCCTGCACATTACAGCCTTGTGCTATGGCCTCACCCCAGACATGTGAGCTCTATGCATCCTCCAAGCTTTGCGTCCACGCTCTGTCCACCCAGCACAGTCCTTGTGGGCCAATTGTGTGCTAGGGGATGGGGGCATGGCCCACCCTGACAGTGTTCCCAGGCTCTGAGTGTTGGGTGAGTGGCAGGCACTGTCCTGTGCCCTGGAGGGGAGGCTAGGTGTGTGTGCCCTGTGCCCTGACTAAGCCCCTCTGTGCTACCCCCGTCCTCTCCCTTGGGATGGCCCTTGCCCAAGTCTCTCTGAGCTCCTGTTGTGTTCCTGCTGCTGCAGGAAGGAAGGGTGCCCGGGACCCCAAAAGGGCCTCTGGTCCCCCTCCCTGCCTGTCCTTGGGGCTGCTCTGCTAAGGGCCAGGATGATCGCCCTACATCCCATTAGCTGTGCCCCCCAGCAGAGCATGATGGGCAGATGGCAAGAGCAGTACTGCCACCAGGGTGCCAGGGGCTCCAGTGCCATTGAGGCCAGAGAGGCCTTGCTGCATCGGCCAGCACTGCCCATGGTGCAGCCTCAGATGTGGCCGCTGGACAGGGAGGGAGTGAAGTCACGTGTGAGGTGAGGGTTGCATGTGAGCTGCCAGGTGGGTGGGCTCGGGACCAGGACAGGACAGCTGGCAGGGTCCTACTGGCTGGTGGGACACAGGCTGACAGCTGGTGGCCACGGAGTGCACTGCCGCACAGTCAGTGCCTGGCCTTCAAGGCCAGGCCTGGGGCTGCGCTGCTGTCCACGCCTAGCAGTGAGGTCCAGGTGCACAGGGAGCAGCAGGTCCTCTAGTGGGAAGAGGATGGGCTCCCATGCGGGGGAGGAAGCGGCACAGACGCTGGGCCGGATGTCTGGAAGTCACCGGAGGTGGACACAGCCGGGGCAGCGGGAGGGATCCTTCCCAGGCCATGCCCTGTCCATTCCAGAAGGGTCTGACTCAGCCGCCCAGCCCCGCTGTGAGGCTTTGGCTGGGGTGTGTCCTGCCAAGCGTGAGCTCTGCCCTCCTAGTGACCCCTGTGCCATCCCCCGGGCACCCTACACTCGGGCTGTGTGGGCTGAGCTGAAGGCCACTCCACCACCATCCCTGAGCCAGCAGAGGCTTCTCAGGCTGAGCTGCCATGAGCTTTTGCTGGGCTCACGGAGGCTGTGATGGGCCGGGAGGAGGCTGTGAGGGACAAGGGGACGGGGGAAGGGGGCAGGACCAACGGTGGGCCGAGAGCTGGGTTCTGTGCTTGCTCACCCACTGCTCCCTCGGCCCTCCACCGTCTGCGTACTCACAGGCCCAGGCGGTCACCTGCTTATCTGTCCACCTGTGTGTCCACTCACCCATTCCCCACCCAGTCCTTTGTCCATCTGCCCACACCCTGCCTACCACCATGTACCATCATCCATTGCCCTTCTGTGCATCTCCGCTGGCCCCTCGCCCATCCATCCTTCGTCCCCTCCACTGTCACCTTGCTGTCTTTGTCCTTCGATCTGTCCACCCACCATCTGCCCACCATGCACGTTCCTGCTGTATCTGACTGTGAGTTCTGGAGCTGGCTGGACCCTGGGGGTCCTGCCCAGTGCCTGGAACCCGTGGCTGGCTCAGAGCAGGCAGCACGCTGGTGCCTGGCCAAGACACTGAGTCCTCGGGTTCCCTCGTGGGGCTCCTTTCCGGGGGCCGTGTGGGGAGACCCGCTCCCCAGCGTACTCCCCGCAGCCTGCAGCAGATGGGGAAGGGGTGGCCACGCGGTCCCCTACCCCCATGGGGAGAAGGCAGGATGCCCGGCCGGGCGGCTGATAGGACCATCTGGGCCCGGCGGCGATGTCTTCCTCAGGGTGGCTCGGGAGAGGGAACTGGGGCCCATCAGCCAAGCTGATAAGGCGACCGCTGAGACACTAGCAAAAATATTTAGACAATAAATGAAGTATCGGAAAGGCGCGTATCTTTCAGAGATCAATCATCAGTGCGGTGTCTGGACGGTCGGCGCCACGGCGGAGATAGGGCCTCCCGGGGAGATAAGGGTTAATCGCGGATTTCATTCTGCTGGAGATAGTGGGTCGGGGAGAAGGAGGGGCTGCTTCCTGCTCAGCTCACAGCCGCACCCCACACTCCCACCCAGCCCCCAGGGGAGGGTCTCAGCCCGAGAGGTCTCCCAGCTGACCTGCACCCAGGCCCGGGGAGTGGGCTCCTGTGGGTAGGGGGGCCTTGGCACCTGCTCTGGGAAGTTGGAGCCCAGCCCCATGCTAGGGAACTTGTAGTGCTGGGGTAGGCACACGGTACTCCAATTTTCCCTCCACGATTTGTTCCTGGTGCCTCGGCAGTTGCCCGAACCTCTCAGAGCCTCAGTCTGGGCATCTATAAAATGGGCACTGCAGCACCTGCCCCAAAGGCTGGGGGTTTGAAATGTGGGGTACAATCTTGTCTATCTAAGTCTGGGATGGCGGTTCCAGGAAGAGCGGGGAGAGGCCCAGAGCAAGGACGACCCTGCTGTGGACCACACCTGCCTCTGCCAGTTATCATGGAAGGGTTTTCCTGATGCTTTGAGGGTTCAGAGATGGAGCCAGGGGTCCGTCCACGCATGGCTGCCTCGTTCCACCCAGCTGACACCCCTCAGCATCCCCGCCTCCCAGGAGGGCTGCCAGTGGCTGCCTGCTCACCTCGGGCGCTGGGGAGCTCACTGCCTGCAAGTGGCTCTGGACACTGCCCTTCTCCCCACAGAGGCCCATACTGTGCTTGGCTGTGGTGCCAGCGCCATGCTGCCCACCCAGGCAGCAGCCTCCTTGCTGTGGCAGTGCTGAAATCATGCCACGCAGGGCCAATCTTTAGTCTGCCTGACTGCCCCACTTAAGCTTGTAGCCCTGCTGCCCACCCCCCCACGGCCCCCAGGCTCCAAGTCCTGCTGCAGGTCCCAAAGGCTCAGGCTGGGCAGGTGCTGGCCTAGGACAGTGAGGAGGGAGCCTGGCCCAGCCTCCCACCCCACAGCAGAAAGGCTGGGTGGGCAGCCCAGGGGCCTCAGCGGGCAGTGTGACACCATTAGAGGTCCCGCTCATGGCAGAGGTAGCTGCGGAGACTGAGGGCTCAGGGTCCTGGGGTCTGCAGCTGGGGGTCCCTCCTGCTGCTCCCCACCAGCCCCTGAGGCATTGCTGCAGGTGGGGACAGGATTCTAACTTCAGGCCAGTCCTGGGTGGAGCTACAGACATAGCCCCTGGGCTTCAGGTGGAGAAGCACCATTGCAGCTCTGTGCCCCTCAGGACCCAGACACCAGCACTGTATGGATAGCCTGGGTCAAGCCACACCTGAACGCCACCTCCGGAAATCAAAAACTGTCAAGCCTAGCTGCACCAGTGTGTTGTGGTGCCTGAACCTGGGCTTAAAGGGATGAACCCAGTGCCACTTGGCCCCCAAATGAGCATGCTAGGCCCAGGACATGCCTCTCAGGCACTGTGTAGACAGCCTTCCTACTTCCGTGCGGCCTGCCTATGCTTACTGGCACTGACACCTTTCTCGGCATCAGAAAACCCAAGGAGGACAGGAGTGGGCTGAGCTCACCCTCAGCTCAGCGAGCTGTGTGAGCTGCTACTCCAGCCGTGGGCTTGTCCTGCACGCAGGTTTTGCTCGGCCATCCCCACTGCTCCTCCCATCTGCTCTCCACTGTTCCCTCAGCAGCGCTGAGGTCACCCCCTGCAGGAGCTCAGGCGGTGCACTCCGCCCTCTGGCCCCAGTCCTGAGCCCGTGTCCTAGGCCGCTCGCCCCGAGAGGTGGTAGTGACCAGGGTGCTTACCGGTTCCGCCTGCCCGGGGGACGATGCCCTGGGCTGGATGCTTCCATGGAAGGGGCCCCAGGACAGGCCCTCAGCGAGGCTAAGTCGGGCGCGCATGCACATCCGTCCATCCCGCAGCTCCAGTTCCAGTTCCTCTGTGGGGAGACAGGTAGGGTGAAGGCATTTGGCTTGGGGATCCCAGCAGTCCTCCCACAGCACCCCGACCCTTGCCCACCCCCAGAAGTGTGCGCCTGGCTGGCCCTGCTGTGAGCCCCAGGCCACTACACTCTTGGAACCTGGCCAGTGGGCTGAGCAAAGCCCCCTGCCATTCGCCCGCTTTGGGCTGCGGAGGGAAGTGTGGTTTGTGGAAACAGTTCTTTGAAATGTAATCCTGCTAGGGATTCGAGGAGGGTGCGTCCTGGATTAGCGAGTGGCCTTAAATCCAGCATGAGTGTCTTCGTAGGAAGAGGGACAGAAGCTGCGAGAAGGGGGCCCTGCAGCCTTGGGTTGGGGTGCGGCCCCGCACACGCTGACCTGGGCACCTGTGCTATCCCTACCAGCAAACTCCTGAGCAGCCAAAGTCTCACAGGGCCTGGTTCCTCCCACTGCCTCCCAAGGCCACGCCCCTGGGCGGAGCCCATACCCTACATGGCCACGCCCCCGGGACAGCTGCCCCTGGCCTGGTCTGGGCAACTGCCAGGGCTGCAGCCCACAGAGGCCTCACGTGGCAGGGCTGGGTCGCCTGGCCTGGCCTGGCCTGAGCACTGTGGTGGCCCCACTTCCTGGAACCCCACCGGGCATGCTGTGGCCTTAATGGGCCCGATGATCAGATAAGCGGCTGCCTAATGGCAGAGATAAGGTGTAAATACGCCAGGAGAGGTTCTAACTGGGTCTTTGTCTTCCCCAGGACAGATAAGGTGGCAGAGGACCAGCACCGAAAGGTAGGCGGCCCCATGGGCAGGCTCTGCCCCTTCCACCGCCACAGCTGCCCTCGATGGCCCACCCAGGACACCCTTCTACTTCTGGCTCGGTCTGGCACAGGGCCGGCCTACAGGGTGGCCGGGTCTGTCCATCCAGGCCAGCACCACGTGGCCCTCGTGGGGACACAGACACTTCCTGTGGAACTTGTCCCCTACATGAATGAGGACACTGGGCCGAGGTGCTCCAGCTGGCACTGGGTGGCAGGATCTAAACCAGACCCATTGCCGTCCTGGTGTCCCCAGGAGTCCCTGGACGTGCACGGTGCTTCCACCCTGCAGTGCAGCTGCAGAGCCCACCGGAGGCCAGCGCACCAGGCTCAGAGGGGCCTGCACTGCAGGAGCCTCTCTGTCCTCAGGTGGCTGAGCCTGCGGCCCACCTGTGCCCTGGGCCTCCTCCCAGTGTCCCTGCAGGAGGGGCTGGTCAAGGCAGCCCCAGCGCCAGCACCACAGTGCTCAGATCCACTCATCACAGCAGTGGGTGTTCAGACCCCTCCAGTGGAAGGAGGCGCCCACAGCAAATGACCCTGCTCCCTGACTGGAGCCCTGGCACCCACCCACCAGATGGGAGCCTGCCATGCGCTTCCCACGGGGCGACCCCTTCTACACACTGCGGGCAGAACCCCCCCAGGGCTGAGGGGGTGCAGGGAGAGCTGGGAAAGGTGGGGTGGGGTCTCAGGAAGACCAGGGTACGGGATGGAGACAGTCGGATGTCACCACGACTCACTTCCCTGGCCCAGGCCCCTGCTGTGGGTGGGTGCAGGGCCATGGTAGGGCCCTGGGTTAACAGGGGAGCACACGTGAACTCAGCCTCACCCCACTCCTGGTGCAGGGCACAATCTATGCAGCAGGCCTGGTGTCATCAGCACCATCCGCTCAAATAACCCAAAACACGACCAAACATGACCCAAATGACCCAAAACATGCTGTGTGTTTAAATAAGAAATATATCACGGTGACACACACCTTGTCATGAGTCCTCCTGAAATCCTCCCCCTCACTTTGAAAACACTCATCTCCTGCTTGTGGAAATCCTGTTTCCTGAAAACGTGGTCGGGACAGTGCCACGCAACAGAACCTTGGACTCCCGAACCACGTCGCTGCGTCCTCACCCGCCTCATCAGGGCTCCGCACCGAAGTCAAAGGGACCTCGACAGGGAAACCCGAGTCCACTGAGAACACCGAGGCAGCCTGGACAGCGCGGCTAAAGACCCTCAGGAAAGAGGGCTCCAGAGCGGCTGCAGACAGTGGGGAGGATGACGGGCCGAGTGTGTCGGGGGCCCGGGGGACCTTTGTGGTGACCTTTCCTCGCACTGTTCTTAAACTGCGCGTCCATCCATCGCACGTTTTGATCACCTCATGACCCTCCGGTTCCCGCTCCTGCTGCAGACCCTCATGCGGCCCACACAGGAACATGCAGGGCTGAAGCCCAGCGAGCACCTGGACAGTGCTGCCCAGCAGGAAGCAGAGCTGTTCCGGGGAGCTGGGCTGCTGCCTTGCAGGGCTCTGGGCACAGCTGAGGGCATGGAAGGAGGGTGAGGCCTGAGGTCTGTGGGCCAGGGACAAACAGCCGTGGGGACACCAGCCCCTCCCCACAGGACGCCTGGTATAGGGCGCCATGCGGTGACCACATGGACAGTGACCGCAGCTCAGCTGTGCCCTGTGGCTCATCTCTGCCTGGGGGCTCCTGGGAAACAGGTGGGGCACGGACAGCGCCCGTGGCGGGCCGTAGGGTGGGCTTCCCAGAGGAGGTGCCCTTTAGCACCAGCCAGGCCCTGATCACTCATTTCCTCGGCTGGACACGGGCTCTGCACCCAGGAACTGACCAGCCCGATGTCCCTCCTGGCCTCCACATGCCATGCCTTAGCCACAAGCCTGGTACCACTCGCAAGTGCTCATATGGGTGGGCACAGGGGAGACTGAGGCTCAGAGAGGTTAAGCACCCAGCCCAAGGGTGCACAGTGGGCAGCTGGGATTTGAAGAGTCAGGACCTGGGCACCCTTTTCCAGGTTGGTTTGCATGTGGCGACGCTGCCCACCTGGACTCAGTTTCCCCTCTGTAGCTTCTCCCCGGCTGGCTGGGGTGTCTGGTGGACCAGGCTCGCCGTGCAGGCCTGGCATGGGTATAGGACTGGCAGGCTCACTGTCGCACATATTACCTCCAGGGTAAGGGTGCCCGGGGACTCAGTGGCCTCTCGCCCTGGCCTCCTGAGGGACCAGACAGGAAGTTAGTGGCCTTTGCAGATTCCGTGTGAGACGTTCCCTCAGGACTCAGAGCCCTTGACAGTGTCCCTAGGTGGGGCAGGGGACGGGGCCTGGGCGCCACCAGCCTGTTTCCCAGGTGGGGCTCTCAGTGGTGGTCAGCGGGCCTGCTGCTCTTCCTCCCTGGGGTTCCCTCCTGTGCAGCAGGCCGGGCCCTGGCCCCAGCTGTCCCCACTTTACATGGCCAGCTGCACACCTGGGAATTGGCTGGAGGTTATAGCCAGCGTGTGGCCACTCTTCCTGACCACCCAGGGGGCTAGTCACCTGCGGGCCCCTGTGCCCCCACCAGCCTCCCTGAGGGCCACCCTGTCCATGCCAATGGCTGTGGCCTCTCGAGCACAAAGTCCGGCGGCCCTGAGCAGCGGCCTCCATGTGGTATGGGCGCCCACCTCGCCACCACAGCCCGGCTAATCTAATCGCCCATCACTCCCGCCCGGCCCCACCCTGCAGCTCCCACAGGCTGGGGAGCGGCCCTATCTCGGGGATCACGCTGTTTGCCTTTGATAAAAGTCACAGAAAAGGAAAGAAAAAGGAAGGAGGAGCAGGCTGGTGGGTTCTGGAAGACTCTGCGGGTGTGGGCACAGGTGGGGAGGATGGTGGGCACTGTGTGGGCCCTGGGCACATCTGCTGTCCCTGCATTCTGGACAAACTGGGAAATCCAGGCCCAGAGAGGGCAGTGACTCCCCGGGTGACTCAGCAGAGGGGGTGGACCAGGTGGGCAGTGTGCTCCCGGGATCAAGCTGTTCCTGAAGCCTAGTCTGGAAACAGAGGGTCCTGTGCTCACTCCCACTCTGACTGTGACATCTTCCACCAGGCTGGGGAGAACAGGAGGACTCAGCAAGGAAATGTCCAGCCCAGGGGCCTCTGTCCCCAGAGCCGGAGCCCCGGTGAGGCTCATACCTGCGGTGTGGTGAGTCCCACAGGGTAGCCAGGTACCTCCCAGCCAAGAAGTGGCAGAGCATGACCCTGAGAGGGCAGCAGGACCCCAGGCTTTACAGGAGCTGGCACAGGGAGGGAGACCACGGCTCCTGCTGGACCAGGCGGGAGCCTCTTTTCCCATGGGCCAATGATGTGTGCTGGGGGCCAGGTGCTGTGTGGTGGCACCTGCCCATAACCCCGAGTATCCTGGAAGGCTGAGGCAGGAAGATTGCAAGCAACTTAGCAAGAGCCTGTCTCGAAGCGAAAGACAAAAAGGGCTGGGAAGTGGCTCCTTGTGAAGGCTCAGGTTTGAGTCCGCGGCCCTGAAAACAGTAAAATAAATAAAACAAAAAATAAAACATGGGGCCAGACTAGTTGTGGTGGTGCAGATCTACAGTGCCAGCCATTCAGACAGTTGAGGCGGGAGGACCACAAGTTCCAGGCTGGTGTGGTGATTTAGGGAGACCCTGCTCACACGCGAGTCCACACACGTATGCTGCACACATGCAACCACGGCCAAGCCCAAAATGCAAGCACTCCCCGCCTCCACCTCATAACAGGGCTGGGGCTGTGGCTCAGGGCTGCATGGGCCTGATCTCCGCCCGTACCACACATGCGTGCCTGGGTGTTGCTGTCACCTGACTTGGACCTGAGAGGGGACTGCGGCACCAGCTGGTTCCTGTTGGCTAGGATGGCTGCTGCCCGGAGCAGTGGGGCCCGGCGGCCGTGATAAGCTGTACTCCACAGGGGCAGAGTGATGTGCTCTGCAGAGAACAGTGGCTGATGGGGATCCTGCTCTGCCCCCCTGGCTCCCTGGGACCCTGCACTCTCAGCAGCCGGCTGTGGGGCTGAGAAAAGTGCAGGACTCTTCACACCGATGTGGCATGGCCCAAGCATCGCCCCTGGGCTGCGCCATCTGGGGCCAGGCACCAGGCTGGGCATCGCTCCTGGGGCCAACATAAAAGGGGTTGTGGGGTGGCCTGGGGTGGGACTAGCAGG